GGGGCTCTATCCCAGGATCCTGGGATCATGACCTGAGCCGAAGGCAGAAGCTTTAACCCACTGAGCCACCCAGGTGCCCCGGAGAGAGAGAGTCTTAAGCAGACTTAGCACTGAGCAAAGAGCTGGATCCGGGGCTTGATCTCATGACCCTGTGATCAAACCGAAAGTCAGATGCTTAACTGACTGCACCACCCAGGAGCCCCAAAGGCTAAAGCCTTTTGGAAGTTGTACCCTTACATGATCCTCCAGAGCAAGATGACTGCCCTATTCCCTCTTATATGTGATGGGGCTGGTCTGTGACCCTCAGCCTGCCCTGAATGATTAAACTGTAACAGTGGCCAGAATGTGTTACGTCTCTGTGGATTCGGAGGAGGCAGCATACAGAATGGAGGAGGTGCACAAGCTTCAGAGTCAAGTCTGGGCCCAAGTCCTGGCTTTGCCCCTTCTTAGTTGGTCATCTGGCTGACTAAGAGCCTCAGTTTTCCCATCAACAAAATGGGCATAATAGTTCTTGCTTGATAGGCTTCCCGTGGATTGTCTGTTGCAGTGCCTGGCCCACACAGAAAGTGCTCAGTGAAGGGTAGTTATGCGCTCTAATCTCTCTGAGTGTCTGAGTCTTCTTCACGCTGGTAGGAGGTGTGAGGTGGCAGGGAAGGAGGGATTCTGGTGCTACCCTACCTACCTTTCTACTCTCCAACTTGAAAGTGATGCTGATGACTGCAGTGTGTTCAATGCATGGCATTTCTGGAAACTTCTCAGTAAGAATGTGTGACAGGGGTACCTGAGTGGCTTGGGCTCAGGTCATGATCCTGGGGTTCTGGGATCGAGCTCCACGTGGGTCTCCCTGCTCAGCCAGGAGTCTGCCTCGCCCTTTTCTCTACCGCTCCCCCCACTCGTGTTCTCTCTCTCAAATAAATAAATAAAATCTTAAAAAAAAAAAAAAAGATCATGTGACAGACAGAACCTATTGGAGGTGGTGAGAATTGAACCCAGTTAGTTGTTCTTACACCCAGCAGCATCAAAGTCTGGCCCAGGACAAGACAGCTTGTTCCCAGGCACTACTATACCTTTATTATCAAACACTCTGGCCTTTGTTCCTTCCAAGAAGCAGTCAGAAGAACAGCAGTAGCCACTGCCTACTGGATGCCTACTATGTGCCAGGGGGGTTTCCATTCATCATTTCATTCAATTAATGCCATAACATTTCAAGGTGGATGTTTTTATTCCTTTTTGGGAAGAGACAACCAAAGCTCACTGAGATTGAATAACTTACCTGAAGTCACATATCTAGAAAGTTAACAGAGATGAGATTTGCCTTTTAAATCTAATTTAATTTCTTAATTTTTTTTATTTATCAGGTTTTTTTGAAGATTTTATTTATTTATATGACAGAGAGATAGAGAGAGAGCACAAGTAGGCAGAGTGGCAGGCAGAGGGAGAGGGAGAAGCAGGCTGTCCACTGAGCAGGGAGCCCGATACAGGGCTCGATTCTAGGACCCTGGGATCATGACCTGAGCCGAAGGCAGCCGCTTAACCGACTGCACCCCCCAGGAGCCCAGATGGACCCATTTTATAGATGGGGAAGCTGAGGAGCCGAGAAAAAGCAAAGTCTCATGGAAGGAGACTTGGCAGGGATGGGGAAGCCTCTGAGTGTGGTAGGCCCTGGCAGAGGTGTCCCTAAGCAGCATTAGGCTGGGTCCCCAGCCCAGTTTTCTCCCTGGACTTCTGCAGGGGAAATTAGAGGGAAATTAATGTCGGAAGCAACCACAAAGGAAAGTGAAGGCAGAAAGCACACCGTTGCCCGAGAGAGTGTGGGAGGCCCAGAGAACCCAGGAATACTTTGCTCCTGCCGGTGCGGCTATGCTGTGGCAAGCTTAGGCTGCTTCTTTTGTAATACCACCTGCAACTGCCATCTCATGATTTCTTCCTTGTCATTTTCCAACGTCACTACCCAGTTATGAGCCCCTGCAGAAGTGGACAGGGCAGAGGGTCGTGGGACCAGCCCCCCAGTTAACAGTGCCCAGATAGAAGCCTTGCTTCTGCTCCCACAGAATCCTCTGCAGGGCTGGGGGTGGACTGGGACCAGACTGGATGGTGGGGAGAAGGGCGGGGAACTGCCTCTTCTGCCCAGATGTGGAGGAAGCTTCCCCGGTCCTAGAGGGATGAAGAAAAAGTTGGCAGAATGAGGGGAAAAAAAGGAAACCAGAGTAAAAGACACCAGGTCTCCCAGAGACTTGGCAGCTAAGGCAGGGCAATGGCCACACTCAGGGGACCAGGAAATCAGACTAAACTAGAGACAAGGTTTAAGGTGATCTATTCATCTGTCCCTACAGAATCCTTCATGCCCATCTACCCTGCAGTTTAGAGGATAAGCTGGAGCCCTCTTCTCTAGGGACCCAGAGAAGTTCACACGAGTGTCCAAAGCAAAGCAGAGACAAAGCAAGGCACTGTGCAATCTCCTTTCCCTGCCTTCGGGGTGGGGGGTCTTCAGCTCTCTCCCCGTGTTCCCATGTAGATCAGGCACCATCTGACAATGTCTAATAACTCCTCTTCTCCTCCTCCTCCTTCTTCGTCTTCTCCTTCTCCTCCACTTTCTTCTTCTTCTCCTTCTTCTTCTAACCACTCTCTTGTTTGGGACAGAAAGGATGGCAAGTTTGTACTTGTCCCCCAGCCCCATACATAACTGGTGACAGCAGGCAAAGCAGCTTTAAGGGGAGGGGTTTGCCAATGGCATGAAGGAGGGAGGGAGTCCTAGAGTGACAGAGCTGGAAGGGACCTGGGAGAACACTTGACCCAACCTTTTGTGACCTCCACACCATTCCTGTGATCTGTGTGCTTCTGTCCCTACCATCATCTCTCATGCCAACCAAGGGTTCTCAAGACCTCCTTCCCCAGGCTTCCTAACCTAAGGGCACTGTCTCTTGTCTCCTTTCCACCAAGAAACTAATCCAGCCTCTTGTTTTCTAGATAACGCTGAGGCTCATTGAGATGTGACTTACCCAAAGGCAACCTTCGTCCCAGGACAAAACCAGGACAAAACCCCAAATGCTTGAAACTGTTTCCATCCTCCTACTCTTCTACTCAATCCCCAGGGAAGGAAGGGCTCAATTCTTCTCCCTAGGGGCTGAGGAGACCTCTGACATGTCACACCTGTCAACTAGCTGATGTGGGCTGCCAGTGTCAAGGTTGTCTAAGACCAGAGTTACTTTCAAGGTGATTCTGGTCATTTCCCTTCCTCCCAGGTAAACTGAGGGCTTTCTGAGGTTGGTCTGGGTCCTGCTTGTTTCTTCCCTGAAAAAAATTGGCTCTGAAGCTTAAGTAACTGCCTGGAACTTGACTGACTGAGCCCCAGACTCCAAGAAAGCCCTCACCACCTTTTCAAGGGCTCTTTCCTCTAGGATAAAAGGAGAGAAGATGCTGAGCTGTAAATTCACCCAGAAGGCAGTGTCCATGGGCTCTTTTTTATCTTTTGCCCTTATTTTTTGCAAATATCATTTATCTTTCCTCCACTGCCCAGCAGTTGGAGATATGAAGAGCTCAGAATGGACTGGCTGGGACCACATCCTGAGGCTGTGAGGACAGGTTTGGAGAAGCGTTATGTGCAGATGTTTGTGTCTCTGTTTACAGGCATGGACACATTCCTGGGTTAGCTCTTGCCCCTATGCTGAGGGCATGAGAGCGTTTTATATGAGCCCACTTCTATATGAGTAGGGTAACTCAGTGGGCCACCTGCAAGGCCAGAACTGCAAAGGAGTCGCCCTGGGGCCCGGAGTTTGAGCTGGGGGAAGGCTACTTTCTTCTTGGTCCTCAATTAAAGTTTACTCAGAGCTAGGAAGGAGCACGGAGACCCGAGGGTGTCCGGGGTGAGGGGTGCGCTGGAGGTAAGACTTGGCAGGGTGGCCCTCGGCCCGAAGTGGGAGCCCCTCTTGGTTTTTCGAGGTCCCATGTGGCTGTGTCCCGCGTGTCGGGCTGCGTCGGGCGGGCGTGCCGGAGTGCCCGTGCGATCCAGTCCACCCCAGCCTCCCCGACACCCGGAGCTCTCTTTGTCTCCTCGTGGAGGTGTGCGTGCAAACCTGCGTCGCACAGCCCTCATCTCGTGCGAGCGCCGGGGTGCACCCTAGCTCCCCCACTCCTTCCGCAGGGAGAGAGAACGAGCCCGAGCCCGGTGCTGTTTGGTCTGGAGCCGAGCGGGGCTCGCATTGATCCATTGATTGTGCGCGGTCTGCGCCTGACCTCCCTGCTCCCGGGGAAGCCGTCTCCATGGAGACCGGGCCCGCTCCCCCAGCGCCGGATTGTAAATTCCTGCAGGCAGCGGCCCGGCAGCCTGGGGAGGGGGCCGCCGCGCCCGGGCGCGCAGGGGGAGCGGCCGCCGCGCCGAGGCCCCATTTGAAAGAAAAAAGGGCACGAAAAAGGAGGTGGTGGAGGAGGAGGGGGAGGAGGAAGAAAACGAAAAGGAGCGAGGAGAGGAGGAGAAAGAGGAGGAGGAGGAGAAAGGCGAAGAAAAAGAGACGGAGCCCGAGAGACGGAGAAGGAGCGAGAGAGGAAGAAAGAGAGGCAGAAAGGGCGTGTTTCTGGCGCTGCGTTTCCCCTCCCCTTTCTCAGGTCCCTCGCTCGGGCTCTGCGCGCTCTCCGGCGGCAGCTCTCCCCGGGCGAAGCTGGGAATTGGGTGGGATTATACGGAGCAGCCCCGCCGCCGCCGCCGCTAGCAGAGCCCAGCTCGGAGAGGGCGGTGGGTCCCCTCCGTCATTGGCGCCGGGCGCCCCCAGCCTCATCGCGCTCTCCGCCTCGCTTTCCCCGGCGTCGGGCCGGGAGAAACCGGCAACATCGGGAGCCTCCCGACGAGGGTGCCGCGGTCCGCGCCCTGCGCCCGCAGCCCCCGGCCCGGCCCCGGCGGGGCGCCCCCTCCCATCCCCCCTCCGGCGCGCGGGGGCCCCGCCGGCTTCCGCCCTCCCGGGGCTGCCAGACCCGCCCCGGCCGCCCGGCCGCGGGTGGCTCCAGCCATGGGCTCGGGGCGCGTGCCCGGGCTCTGCCTGCTCGTCCTGCTGGTCCACGCCCGCGCCGCCCAGCACAGCAAAGCCGCGCAAGGTAAGGAAGGAGGGGCGCGCGGCGGCGGGACTGCGGGAGCTGCGGGGGCTGCGGGGCCCGAGGGCGGGGGCGCGATTTCCAAGGGGCAGGGGCAGGTGCTGGGCAAAGCGTGCCGCTGTCAGAGCCCAGCACCGTGCACCCGCACTCTGGCCGGGGAGCTGACCTCAGGGCGCTGCGTCCCGGGCGAGAGGCTGGATGAGCCGGCAGCGACACAGAGGAGTGAGAAGTTTGGGGGGCCCTGTGCAGAAGTCGCCACGCACCTCAGAATTCTGCCCTACTTCACTGCCGCCCCAGCATCTTCGAAAGATTTCTTGTCCTCCAAAAGTAAGAGAGAGAATCTTCCCTTCTCTCAGACACTGCCAGAAACTTAAGCCGTGGCCTGGAGAGACGGAGAGAATGAAACTTTTCAGCCACGCCATGTATTTCTTCCCCTCACCCCCAACCCTCATGCAAAGTCAGACAAAATTTCCCAGTTGTTGTCTTATCAGTAGAAAAATGTTAAAGAAAAATAGGATCTTTTCTGGAAAGCCCAGCTCGTCTCTCACTGGATGGTAGGGGGCTGAAGAAGAGAAGAAAATTTCTGACTGGTTCCCAGCAAGAATGTCGCTTTCTGCCTCTTTGGGGGGAAATCTCTTTCGTCTTGCATGGCTTTCATTTCTTATCATAATATTTATTTATTAAGGCCTCGGGTTTCCAATTCCATTTAAATCCAGGTCAGAATTGCATTAAAATAACAAAGTAAAATTCCAGGCCAGAGAGCTCTGACAGATCCCTCTAGGAATTAAAGAGAGAGAGAGACAGGGAGGCCCTCCAGCCCCCATCCCTGACCCCAGGCTCATTGCCTGGCCAGTCCCAAGGCTTTGCTGGCAGAAACCAGGCTGGTGGGCTACAGTTCTCTTGGGGACAGCCTCCCCTCCCCCTTGACCTCTTGCTGCACCCTTCCCCCATCATGTCCTCACCCAGGAAGAGATTTATATGGACAAAAAGAAAATTCCTCCTGGCAAGGCTTGGCGGAGGAGGATATGATTCTGCCTATTGTCCCAGGGGCTCCTGAAGCCAAGATGGGGTGTGGAAGTGGCTGAGCCAGAAGGGAAAGTTGAACTTGGGAGTTGGGGAAGCCTGAGTCTCTGGCAGTCAGGTCGCTATGTCCTGGAGCCTGAGCCCTTGGCTCTTAAGGTGCTCTTCTGTACTGCATGGGCTCCCACTCTGATAAAAGACGGTGCCCTATCCACGCCAGTCCCTTCTCCCAAACGCTGCCTCTTCAACTACCTCCTTCCTTCAACCTGTCCTTTAACAGAGCCCAAGGACCAGAGATCCACAGCTGTCACATACCAGACCTCACCCCCTTCCAACCCCAAACTGCCTCCTCTCCAGTTCTGGTTCCAGACAGCCCACTCCCACCCCCAGCCTGGGAGCAGCCCCTCTCCCACTGTGGATTTGCTTGTGTTTTCATAAACAAAGCTGGCTTTTGTAGTGTGTGCTGACTTACTCATAACATGGAATTAGCTAGGGAGTTTAGTCTGAAGGAAGGAACAGATTTCATTCAGTAATCTAGAGACAAGATAAGGGCCTCTTTCAAGTTGGAGCCTGTGTCTGTAGTGGCCTAGTGAGACTGGGGGGCTGGGGGCAAAAGAGGGAGCAAACAGTATATTCAGGGGGGTTCCCAGGGCTCATGGAGACTTTTAGAAGGGACAGGTGCCAGGGGAGATCAGCTCATCTTTTGGGGATAGAAGGACTCAAAACCCCTGGGCTTCCCTTTCTCATCAAGACACCCCTCTGGGTGCTGCTGGGGGCAGGGGATGCAGCCAGAGTGGAGGCCCTGCCCTCAAGGAACTTACATCCTCCTAGTTTTGTTTCCTGCTTATATTCAGGCTGCAGTTAACAGTGCATCTTCCTTCTGATCCCCAAGTCTAGCCGGGCATAGAATAGAAGCCTGTCATTTCAGCTACCTCTGACGCTGCTGTTCAGGAACTGTGTCAGCCCGGTCTGCCAGAGGTGGCCTAACGACAGGTCTGTTGGGGTAGAGGGTCTCTGGACCCAAATCTGCAGGCCACTCTTGCAGGAAAGACAAGTACTGACTGGGCAGGGCAGCCTTACCCCTAGATGGAGTGCTGTGGACATCCCTTGATCCCAGACAGATCTGCTGGGTATCACGCCAGCAGGTGTGCTTTCAATGCCATGTGCTTTTAGTCGAAGCTCTAGTGGGTCTCTTTAAATTACAAAGACTCTAGGCAACTGTCGTGTGCCATTATTAGATCTCTGGATAGAGTGTGTATGTGTGCGCGCGCGTGTGTGTATGTGAGAGATGGAGAGAGAGAGCGAGAGAAATTCACCGCCATCACCCACAGGAGGTAGAGCTGGGTGCCTTTGTCTCTCGTGACTTGGTGGTTAAGCCTGGATACGAACATTTTCATGTCTTTGAGAACCGTGTGTGGATGAATGGGTGGGTAAGCTCGTGTGACCAGGAGTGAGTGAGCATGAGGGTACATGGTTTTGAGTGTTTTTCAAGTGCCTGTGTGTGTATTTTAAAGTAGACAGACTGGATAACCAAGATAATTGTTAACTTAAAAGCATTAATTTGCTTTGCTTTTTTGGGGGGGGGGGTGCAGCAGTGGTTAAAAAGATCTAATCCTTGCTTAGGGCTCAGGTTACAGCTGAATGAAAAGGTCTCCTGGCCTCCCCAGGGGAAAACTTGTCCCCAGGGCAGGCTCAGGGAGAGCCAGCCTGGCCGTTCAGTTTACCTGGTTGTTTTTTCTTCTCATTAGGGATAAAATGTTGATAAAGTCATGTATTTAGAGTTTCCAAGTAACACCATCCCCGGGACTGAGAGCGTTCATCTGGCGGCAAACAGTGTCTCTCTTGTCTCCATGCGTCTCTCCGGGTCTCTGTCTGGGTGTATGTGTGTGTCTCTCTCTCTTTCCCCCACCCCTCTCTTCCTCTTTAATGTGGCTATTTCCTCTCCTCCCCGCTTCCCTGGGCTCCTGTGGCCAGCTCTTACAGTGAGGGGACTGTTCCTCCTAGCCCCTCCCTCCAAAATATGAAATGAAAACCATAACCGTGTCAGCGGGTGAGGGTGGCCCCGTGGGCAGCCGGCTATTGCCTGTGCCCCATCCAGGCCACACTGGGGAGAGAGAGAGAGAGAGAGAGTTGAGTCCCCACTCTTGGAGCCTGATCTTCAATCAGTTGCTTCTAAGCCTGTCTCCCCCACCTCCATTTTTCCAGAAGGGTGGAGAAGGGGGGGGTTGGACTGCTTAGAAATTCCTCAGGAATCCCTTTGACCTCTCTTCTCTCAGTGACATGTCCCCCCGGGGAGGTGGGGGAAGCCTGGGGCCAGGGGAGCACTTCTCCACTTCTTACCCCTCGTCTCCTTGAGCCTCCTCAGAGCGGAAGGAGAGAGAGGGGAGCAGAAGACACCGAGGCCAGAATTACCGCAGGCAGAGAAAGAAGAAAGTTATCAGCCACCCCTAAATGAGATTGTTTTCTGAAACCTTCAGGAATCTGAGAGCATGAGAACCGGTTTGAGATGTGAGCAGCCGGGACCTGTTGTAAAAGGAGCTGGCCCTGGGTGTGAGTTTGGGAATGCAAGGTGTGCATTCACTGGGGTGTGCGAGCGTGCGTGTGCATGATTCGGGGTGTGTGTGTGTGTGTGTGTGTGTGTGTGTGTGTGTGTATTTACCCATGTGTGTGTGCGTGCACCGTGCTCCGGTGAGAGGAAAAAGGAAGCAGGGCAATGTGCGTTTTGTTTTCGTTGGAGAAGTCAAGAAGTGGAATGGCTTGGTCCGGTGCCGTGGATTGAGGGTGGGGGAAGGGAACGGATGGTTTCAGACCCTCTTGCAGAGATGGAGGCAGAGGGGCTTGCTGCCTGAACTTACCCCTGGCCCTGCCCCCGGCTCTGGACCCCTCGTGTCAGGGTGTGGGCCTCCCTTGACGTCCCGTACCTCTAGCACATGACCACTTCTAAGAAAGAGTCCCTGTCAGGGCTGGAAACTGCAGGGCTGCTTCTGAGACGGGCAGTGCCCGCAAGAGGCCCAGACCCGGGGACAAGTTCTTCAGGCTCAGTTAGAAGACAGCAGTCTGGAAACAGAGGGACGGCTGCGCCTGGCGGGGGGAAAAGTGATACAGCAGCTAACTCAGGGATGCCCAAGGGGTAGAGGAGCTAGGCACCTGGGCTAGAAGGGGACACAGACCCTCGCCTCCCCCCACTGGCCCCTCTGTCACCAGCCTGTCCTCCCATGCCCGAGTACTGCCAGCTCCAAATGGCGTGTGGTGGGGTGTTTGGTGCCCGTGGGTTGGTAGACGCAGAGCCTAGGGACTGGGGCCCTTGAAAAAATCATTGAAATGCCCTCCCTCACTTGTGAAATGGACTAGAGTATCAGGAGAGTCCCCTTCAGCTCTGAGATTCTGCACATCTCATTGAAATCCTTCCTGCTGGAAGGCAGGAAACACTTGAGCAATTCTTGGTCCTGCCCCCAGGCTTCTGGGGCCTTCCTGCCTGACGCTCAGGCCCTCTCTGCCTGGGCCCTCCGCTACTGCTCCCTGCCCGAGTCTGTCACTTGGCTACTCCTCCTTACTTACCCCACCCCAGTCTCCTGGGGCCCCATGTACGTGATTGTTCTGTGTCCTTAGGTAGACTCTTTCCCCCTGGAAAGAGCATCTACAAAACAAGTATGCGTTTCTGTGCGTGCACGTGTGTGTGAAGCTGTGTGCATCCAGCAGCTTTGGGTAGGGGAGCTGCGATGGTTGTGTTCTGGGAACTGAATCCTGTCTGGGCAGGACCCCGAGGCCCCAGTCCCTGGTCCTGTATGGTGTATTCTCAGCTCCAAGCCTAGCCCTCTGTATTCTCCTCCAGCTGAAACATTTCAGACCGAGGTACTGTTTTGTAGTTGCTATTGGGTTTGGCCTTGGGGTGAAGAGATGACCCCTAAGTAGAGCACTGTGGCCCTCACTCTTACCTATGGTTTCCCTGTGGCTGTACCCATGGCCCTAGAGAGCTGTGGGGT